AGACTCCTGCAGTGGAACACTCTCGCCTGCCCTGAATCACCCCAGGGCCAAGTACCAGGCAAATTAGAGACCGTCCTTGTAGCCGGGAGCCCACTGCAATGATTCAGATACCCAATCCTAAACCTGCTCAGCTGCTTGCTCTGCCTCACCCATTCCTTCCACCATAAAGGCTTTTGTCTATGGTGATTTCCGCTCATTCCTCCCGCCTTCTGACTGGTCCTGGTGCTCCCTTGTGTGGCCCTATGTGGCATGGCGTACCCCCCTCCTCTTGGGAATTGTAATGAATAAACTTTTCTTTCAAAGGTGGTTGTCTCCATGTCTGTCATCTTGCCATATCTGCTTAAAACAAATCCCAGGTACATCTTAAAACACAGGTAAGAAAGACATTTGAGCAGTACCACATACCATCATATTCCAAAGTCTGTATCTCTTATGACAAACTGGATTTCCCAGGACAGAACCTTTGTATTTTGACTGTCATCTGCCTCAGGGAAGTTGCTTGAAGAATTTCCCATCAATGAACTCCCTCTCAGGTAATGAAGCCTTAATCCTAGTGTTAGGGACAGGTCACTGACCATTGGATTCAAAGTCCCCTTCATCACTTATTTCAGGGAACCTAGGAACTATCATATGAGTAAGGCTCTCTGTAGCCTTCTAGAATCTTTTAGCTCTTCTAGAATCTTGTATTCCTTCTAGAACCTTGGAGATGAACACATAGATTAAGATTCTAACAAGACTCTAACTTCATCCTTATATTTGGGAGAAAACTCAAAATGCTTGGATAATTTATGGTTACTCTTCCAAATCCTTAAACAGTTATGGAATTTCAGAATGATAAAGGACTCTAGAAATTACCTAGTCTAGATATTTCCTCTAATACTCTTTTTATTATTTGGTGCTCCATCTTCCAACTCTCTTTGCCTTGAATGAATCCCTCCTACCTTTTCCAGCAGTTGATCATTCCATTGCATCTGTTTGAATGTTAATTGTTGTGTGTTCTAGTGCAGACATCCACAAACTATGGCCTGTGGGACAAATCCAGTCTGCTGCCTGTTTTTGTAAATAGAATTTTATTAGAACACAGTCACACTCACTCATTTGTGGATTGTCAATGGCTGCTTTCACCCTCCAATGGTAGAACTAAATAGTTGTAGTAAGGGGCATATGGTCTGCAAAACCTAAAATATTTATTCTCTGTTTATCCCCTGTTCTAGTGGGTAAAGTGGGCTGATAGGGTTGGACATTATTTACAAGTTTTTTAGGGACAACTTCAAATTCTTCTTCACCCGTGGAGCATTCTTCAACCATATTAGCAGCCATCACACTCCTCCTCAAACCATGCCAGTTAAAATCTTAATTGTTTCATTAACTCTTCCTTATATAAGGATGTGTGTTGCTGCCAGGAAACAATTGTCCATGAATCTGTCGTGTTTCTACATGTCTAGGCATGAAGAGCCAATTTGCCCTAGGACTGTCTTTTCAGAAATGTTAACATAAGCATGGAGACGTTATTTACCTTCCTGGATAGTAAAGATAGAGGTATTCCCTCCTCAGAGAGATTTGCTTATATTCCAGGGTGATAAAAATAATCTCTCTCTCCAGAGGGGAGGATGGGCAGCTTTGCTAGCAATCCCCTATAAGATCAGAGTCTCTTAGTCTCAGGGTTCCTATCCTGTAATGCACCCCCACTCTGAGTGCAGGCAAAACCTGGCCCTCATTGCATCGTCCTATTGGAATTGGGGCTCAGGGAACCTGGACCAAAGTATTCTTATTGCTGTAAATAACAAACGGTCTAAATCGATTTAGGCTCATTGTATCCTTACTGGCCAAATCTATGGATGTGTGTGAACCAACCCAACACCTGCTACTGGGCTGCTGCTTAGGCACTACTGGACTACGTGACAGTTGCTTGATGCATGTTTCAGCGCATTTATTTTGTATCCTTGACTACACTGAGAAGTTCCTTGAGAGCAGGGACCAGATCTCTTCCTCTTGTATCCTCTGGCAAGCCCAACATACAGTAGGTATTCAATAATATTTTGTTGCTCAAGCTAAAGGCACCCATACTTTCTGTCCTGAAATACTCTTCCGAATGGTGCACAAAGACTTGGGACTATTTCTAAATTGCCATGTCTTCCCTCTGCCCAAATGTCCCCGAGACTCTGAGATCTAAAGACATTCTGATCTTATTAAGAAGCAGAAGCAAGTTCCAGCCCACCAGTGTCCAACCAGAAAAGAGGTCCACTGTGGATGTGGTGGCAGCGCCTAGGGAAAATGACCCAGCCAGCCCTGTAGTCAGAAGGAATTAGCCACCTACTTGGATCCTCAGATTAGCAGCAAAGTTAGCAAGGGCAGGGGCTGGAGTTGGGGGGTGGCCGGACCTCCCTCCAGAGTGCTTGCTGTGGATAGCAGCCTGCACCCACAATAAAATGAATGCAGCTGATGGATTCCTTCCTCCTAGGTTTGCCAGACTCAGCAAATAAAAACACAGGACACCCAGTTAAATTTGAATGTCAGATAAACAATGAATACCGTTTTAGTGTCACTATGTCCCAAATACTGCACAAGGCATACCTACACGAAAATTTTTTCTTGCTGTAGTTTATCTGAAATCCAAATTTACCTGGGTGTCTTGTAGTTTATTAGGCAGGCCTATTCTCTGCTCTCCCTTCTGGACCCCATTCTCCAGCTAAGCCTCACCCTCAGGGTGGGCCACTTCCCTAAACCAGCTCCATGAGATTGGTTTTTCTGACTCTCCTTCTTCACAGAGCACCTTTCCTGGGCTGGTGGAGATGCAAAGCTGGATGTTTAGGGAGTGGACCATTCAGGATACTGTCCTTGAGTTTTGCCCACTTGCCTTGACCTTCTGTCATTGTTTGCAGGAAGCAGGACCATGAAGTGGGTGGCGGGCTTGCCTTTTGAACCATCGAGAAGCATTTCGGTGTATTGGGCTGCTTGATTTCTTGTTTGATTGTGTTTTATTTTTTAAATCTGTAATTCCAAGAATTGTCTGTGAAGTCAGATCTGAAAAGCAAAAAACGTCTGTCTCCTGTGTATTAATGAAATTTGAATTGGAACTCAGGAAGAGGCAGAGAGCATGGAAGATTCAATTACCTCCTAGATGGGTGGTAATCCAAGCCCCCAACTTTGATCCTTAATAGATGCTTTTCCCATCGGCCCCCTTGCAGAGGGTGTGCAGAGTATATCTTGTCTACCTCTAGGCTAATAAGAAACTAGTTCAGTGATTTCCATCTCTCTCACCCCATAGGCAAGGCTTACATGGGGCTTAACTCTGAGCTGCCTCAGAAAGTGGCCTGATGATTCACATTCGCCACAGAAGGCCCTGTAAAGGCGAGCTCTGCTCAGGCATCCGGGGAGATTTGCAGAATAAATAAATGCCTCCCTGGGGATTTGCTAGGTAACTCCCTGTCAGGGCCTGGGGACAGAGATTTAAATATGAATTATCATCCTGACCTGGCAGGGATTTACGGGATGAGCCCCCTCTGTGCTCACAGGAAAGATTTACACAGTCCCTTCATCAGCACCGGGCTGCGGGGATTGCCACTATGTGCCACTCAGCACTGGGGACCCCTCCACGCTGGCCTCCATCAGCGGGCACTGGTCATGGATCTCATGAGCGCCAGCGCCCTGCCTGCACAGCCTCCTCTCAGTCCTCTGTCCCCGCTGCCCTCCACTTCCATCCTCAAATGACAGGAGGATAAAATTCCTTCTGCTGCTTGGGTACAGAGAACTTGTACCCAATTCCCCTCTGCTATCCTTTATGGCTTCCATTTAAGTGTTTCCTGCGTCTCCATCAGAATGTAACCATGGCCACTTCCTGTCATGTCCTTTCCTGCCTTCCTCCCTCTTGCAGAGGGACCGCTCTCTTCTTCAGGTGACTGTATCTGCTCTTTTGTTTTCTGTGGCCCCTTTTCTCACCAGTGTGCTCAGCTCTGGATTTGAGAATCTAATGGTCAGCCGGATACCCCCAGCAGAATCCCGTGGGGGAGAACGTTAAATCAGAATCCTGGGTTCCACTCTGGACCTCCTGAATCAGCATCTCTGGTACAGGGGCCCAGAAAACAAGTCCTTTCCATAACACTCAAGCACACTAAAGTTTGGGAACTAAAACCCTTGATCCCAGCCCTGCTGAATTTCAGATGGGTCAGTTCCCCCTTTCTTCCAGGCGAGTCTCTCTATACCTCTCAGCAAACTTACTGTGCATCTTTGAGGGGATTTTGAGGGAAAGGGTAAATATCTGGGACACCAGGGGGTGCAAAATTGTTCCAAGGGAAGACACAGCCTGAAAAGTAACCTGGCCCATGAATATTCCTGCTGGCCATGTGGTCAGTTTTGATCACTCAGATCAATTCAAGGCGCTTTCTATAAGCCTTTGTGAGAGCAGGAAATAAGGTTCTGGGAATAAGGAGGTAGGGAAGAAGAGAGAGGTTAAAATGAATTGACAGGCCGTGGGATTAGAACTCTTGCTCAGTCCTGATTTTGTGAGTAACTAACAGTGGCCTGAAATTAAAGAATTAAACCATGAAAGCTCCCTTGACAACTGATCTGATAGGCCCAGAAGCAAATTTCAGGGACACTGTTGTCAGGCAGAGGCAGGGGAGAGATGAGATAAGGGGCACTACGAGGAACTGGGGCAGGGGTGGGGGCCTGTCTCTTTCTTCACAATCCAGTGAGAGGCACTTTACTCCCTCTTCTCAGGACAGCACTGTAAACTGCAGTAGTATTGGGGGCAAATTAGTTGCCAGGGCTTTTATTTACCTCCAGTAGCACTTTCTTCCTTACATCCAATTATGACTTTAAAATGGAAGCAACAATGAAAAGAGGAGGAAGATAATGAAACATAAGTCAAAATGTGGCAGCTGGTGAATTTCTGATAATTGCACTTTCCCTTGTAATGTTTCGTTTCTATTCCCTCATGTTGCACAGTAGCCTGTGGAGAGGGAAAAAACCCAACGACAACAAAAAGCAACTCCAAAGGCTTCAAGGAAACAATATCAAATGCAATTTAATGACATTTTTTATGGGAGACCGGGTAGAGACAAGGTAGCATTCTAAGTCTGCTTCTTCCCACTGCCTTTAACACCATAAGAAAGCCTAGAAACTTATATATACATCAGTTCAGGTTAAATAAAAGACTCCATTGCCCTTCTCTTTCTTATCTCAATACCCTAAAAAAATGTTACAAAAGGGAGGGGTGTATTTATAGTACAGTACTCAAGCTGAAATATTTTCACACAATATTGGAAAAGACAAACTCTAACCCATGTAGGCAACCCATGTGATAACCTGATTTGGGGAAAAATCAATGTTATCTACAACAGATCTCTTTTCAGTGGAGTTTTTCTTGGCTGCCGTTCTCCAGGTTAACACAACAGAGAGCTCACCAATTCTTGAAGGAAATCTTAGGAACAAACAGTCTGGAGGTCTAACGATCTACTAGGAGACTCTACTATTGATGCTATTTGTAATTGAACTTTAATCGAAGCATAATTCTTTATTGTCCAGTCCACGATCCCTTCTCCTTCCACCAGAAATTGGATGCAAGTAGAAGCTTCAGCAAGCTTCTCTTCTTCCAACCCTTACACTGAAACCACTGGGATCAGAGTAACTGATTCACTGTTGACCTTGGAGATTCTGTCTGCTTCAAGGCACTCAGCCTGGCATCTCCTGTGACTTTTATCTAGCGGTAACCATGCCCTTAATTTAGAAAGAGTATTGGTCTGGGTGGGCTACAGATTACGAACACGGTCCTTGTCAGCTTGCAGTGAAGTGAAGCAGCCAGAGTGGGAAAGAAAGGCTCTTGGCTCCATTCTTCATGTGACATCCTTTGACTCATTCCCTCTCCTGTCCCTCAGCTTTGTGCTGTGTAAGGGTTCCACTTTCGAGGTCACACATTTCTGTGATATTTGAAACCACGGCTCACTGTGCCCTTCTCAGTTCTTGGATATTTTTAGTCTCTCTAAGTAAAATATTTCTTTAGATTAAATTTTGGTCTACATGTAGAGGTAAGAAAGATGACTTATACGAACAAGTCATAGGAAATTCCAGTTTTGTAGCGCTTGGTTTTACTTCTTGGATTGGGATGGCCAATAGGCTGGTTTTGTGGAGTCAGGATTTTTCCACAAAAGTCATCAGATACAACTTTTCACACTGACAACAATAGAGAAATGTCTGGAGGAGGGCAGGGAATACCCCTTAGGCTGCTTAGAAGTCTCAGAGTCTCCATTCCAGAACAGTTTATTTTTTCCCGATAATTTGCTGTTTGGCTGGCATGGCTGTCATCTGTGCCACTGTCAGGGTGGCTACCAGGATCTCATTTCTCCTTCCAAAGTCCTCTCTCCCCACCCTACTGTGTGCATCAGAGATGTCTAGGCAGTGGTGTGCTGGTAATCGTTTAACAACTAGCTCTCTGAGGGGGAAAGCTCTCTACCTTAAAGCACCTGCCAATTTCCAGGGTGTAAATACCACCATCATGGCCAATTTCAAACTGTTACCATGATGTCACTAAAAGTGGAGCTGGGAGATGTACTGTAGCACGTTGTTACATAGTACGTCCACCATATAGATGTGATAGAGGTAAATAACCTCAAGAGCATAGAAATAAAAAAGTGCTAGTGGGAAAAATAGGAAGTAGTGAGTTTTGAGTATTTATTGCTTTTTTAAAATATAACTTATTTAATTGTAAATTTATATAATTTAATTTTTAATAATGGCTATGCTTAACAATCAGCTTGCAAAATTTCTTACAAAATTTAACAAGTGTTATACAAGCCAGCTCCAGCACACCACTCTGTTTTGGGCTGGGAAAAGAGGAAGAAAAAGGAAAAATGAAAGGGCAATTTTAGTATTAAAGTACTAAAAGTTGTCTATGCCATAGAGACTTTCTGTTTTGGGTCCATGAACTCATAGAAATGACATAGTTGACATTGGTCAGAAGTCTGACTTTGGAGCTAGACATGCTGGGTTCCAGGCCCAGCTCTACCATTTGCTAGCTGTGTGACCTTAAACAAGTGTCTAAACTCTCTTAGCTCAAGTTTCTCAATGGTACAATAATTGTACCACTTTGTCATGGGGATTAAATGAGATCATATATTCAAAGTACTTAGCCTGCTGGGTCACCTAGTAAACCCTCAATAAATGGTAGCCAAGTAATATTACTATTAACCTGATCCATTTCTAAAACGTCTACAGTAGCCACAGGTAGCAATGGGATTTACCCCAGATGCAAGTCCACGCAGAGACCAGTCGTTAGAGACGATCTTCTCTGTGTGGCCCAAACGCCATTTCAGTATCAACCATTTCTGCAGGCTCAGCCTCAAGGGGAGGCTTGTCTACACCTCCGGAAAAAGGTTCAAATACTGGTAACTCATTTCTTGCTGTAAGTACTGCTGTCTCCCTAGGCCTACTTTTAAAATGCAGATACTCCTTAGAGGGTGAGTCATTAACGGAGCATCGAGGTGTGAATGAGGCAACCAGATCCCAGGGCTCCTCACTGGACAGGCTCCTGGGAGTCTAAGAACGGGGAGCCTAGAGTGGGTGATGTACAGAAACGGCCTGAGGGCACTGAAGACTCCACAGGTGGTTCCCACTCCTTCCCACCCCACCCCTGCCTCCAGGTTGACCAGTTCTTCAAGCCAAGATGCCTCCAAAAGCAAATCCACCCCAGTCTCCCTTCCCTGCTCCCCTAAATACCCCAGAACCAAGACCCACTTGACCCTCAGGCCCACAGTCCACTGGTAAGACGGGAACATTGCTGAATATTTTGGGTCAATCTTTCTATTTTAAGAACACCAAGTTTGCGTTCATTGGCCAGGTTTTAATCGTGGTCCCAACCACTTGCTATGTGACCTTAGGAAGGTCATTTCGTGTCTCTGAACCTCTATTTTTTTCGTATATTGAGGATACTGATGAGGATTGACCTGAGACTCGAATGAGGGAGCCCTTTGTGACTATAAAGCTCAACACAACACATGGTCTTGATACCATTTTCTACTCCCCATTCATTGTTTCAAGTTTGTTCTTTTTTCTTCAATTCTTCCCACGGGGAGAGGAAGGCCTTCTTGGGAGCACCATATATGGACAAAAATAACACATTCCTACCCTTTATTCTAAAGGTTTCTAGGAACCAAAAATACCAGTTCCCATCTGGGATCGCTTATTCATAACTCAGTCTCATGTGCAATAATAATAACCTGAAGTTATTCCCAGTTTGGCTCAGGTAACTTGGCACAACAAGAAGGCAGAGGTGACATTTGCAGGAGCCTAAGGCCCTGTGAACTGTAATTATATTCTTATCGAGGTTTTGTTTGTTTGTTTATCTGGGGCACCTGTGATGCCACAGAGTGTTTTCAAAGTGGTTGGGTATCAGAAACCAGGGGAGGAACTGTGGCTTCCAGAGGCATCAGACTTCCAGGCAAGGAGGTCTTAGGTTCTGGGGACGGGCCTGGGGATGCAGTAAGGAGCCAAGGAAGTCACCTCTCCCAGGGCTGGCCAGACAGCCTCAGCTTTTTCCAGGGCTGTCTGTGTGGTTCCAGGGGGGAGCCCATGCCCTGGTAGGATGTTCTGACAGAGCAAGTAGGTTACAACCCTTCCTTGGGACTGCAGATCTGATGTTGTTGTTTATCGACCCCCCCTTAATGGCTCTAACGGAATGGAAGCTCGGCCCCAGGGTCCCAGCAATTACTGTGTGACTAGAGGGGCCGCATTATGGAATCTATTGACAGGTGTCACCCTTCTGGTGCTTGGGGTGGGGCTGGCAGCACAAGTGGCTGGAGGATTACCAGTTTTTGGGGGAAGGGTGTTGTTTCAGGATCAACTATTTTTGGTGGGAAATAGACGCCTGATAGCCAATCAGGACAAGCTGCAGGAAACTAAGTACTCACTTAGAGGCCTGCCAGGATCCAAGATGGTGGAGGGGAGGGAACGGGGCAGAGAGCACGTCTGGTTGGCGAAAAGCCCCCTGGATTCTAATGAGTGTCGTTTGGGGTTTGGGTGCCGTACTTCTCAACAACTGGAGAGTGGCCGAGGGGAGAACAAAATCGGCAAGACGAGGGACTGGTGGCAGGCTTACGGGCCTTCACCTTTGACCAGAAGAGACAAAGCTGACTGCACATGCTTACCTTCTTCAAACACACCAGAGGGTACCTTGTGGATATTCCACAAGAAGATATGGAACTGTTCTGACAAACAAAAACGAGAAAGCAGTCTACGCAGAGGCAAGATGGATTTTCGTTACCTTTTCTTTCACACTACGACAGGGTGCTGAATACAGAGTTGACCAGTGATAAAGTCTGTGTGCTGAATGGGGCTCTCAGAGCACTCTAGAAAATAAGGAAAGGAAAGAGGACACTCCCAGGTGCATGAGGGACCTCTGACCTCTAGGTCAGAAGTCCTGGGCATACCCTCCAAGTCCCCTGGGTTTGATGCTGAGTTGGGGTTCTGGTTTATGAGGTATCAAGAGCAAAGGGGGTTCTTTGCATGACACCAAAATGCTCCATCCTAGTGAGGGGATTGATGGATTTTATAACCTGATAATAAAACTCTCTGAGGAGAGAACGCCCTCCCAGAGATGGGAGATTAATTTTATCCCTTGTTGTTTCAGCTGTTTCTCTTCCCCTGCATCTTGCCTTATCCTTTCTTACTACTCACTCAACAGAGGGTAAAAAGGTTTCCGAGAAAGCACCTAGAACTTGAGGACTTTGATTCCAGAACACGGAAAGATGGCCCAGGCTGAGAGCAAGCCGACGGCAGCTGCCAAAAGAGGGCTCAACCGCTGTCCACTCCCCGAGCCCCGGGATCAACCTGGAGGACTCCTCCATGATGGTGCCCCAGCCCAGTGGCCTGGCTTCTGAGGAGACGCCATCTCCTCAAGTCCAGGCAGCTTGGCTCTGACCCTGGGGTCCATGGGAAGGTGTCAGAGTTGTGTCTGGTTGGTCTGAAATATCTCTGAGCTGTCTAGGTCCACTTCCCCAACCTGCTATCCTCCCCGATTTCAGAGTTAGCTTGCTCTGAAATAGGCTGAAAAGAGAAGGAAGAAATGCTTTGGACACTGTCTCCTTTCAAACCCAACAGTCTGCTTCCTGGTCTCTGTGGCTTTTGCTCATTTTGGAAGCAGTGGAGAAGGGAGTTGTGGGTGGCAGGAAATAACCATTCTGATTGAATCTGATTAAAAATGTTCTATAAAACTATACCAACAAATCAGGACAAACATCACACCAAGAGCTTGAATCACAGGGTGTTTACATAATATAATGCCCATGGCAGACAAATACTGAATACCACAAAGTACCTGAGACAAAAAAAGAAAGGAAGGAAGGAGGGAGAAGAATAAAAAGAAGTCTAGAGTCCTGGCGTTCGGAGATCCGAGGGGCTCAGGCAGAGTTTCCTGGTGGACGGGTGGCCGCGTGTGAGCGTCCGGTGGCCTCTTGCTTCACATCTCGGCTTCGGAGGAGCAGACCTCTGTCGCGGTGATAGCGATTCCAATGGCAAGGCTGCCATTGTCGGAGAAGAGCTGGGCCAGCGAGGTGTTGAGGACAAGGCAGTCCCCGTCAGTGATGACTGAGTCCACACACTCAAGGACAGACCGGGGGGTAGCCTCCCATTTGAGACGCCGATGGTTTCTGTTGAGCTCCAGGCGGTAGGTGAAGCAGTCAGCCTGGGTGGGGGTCCCAATCAGCATCATGGTGGCAAAGAACTGTGGGTGCCCCTCGTGCCTTTCCTGTTTCCTAAGCACCAGCAGAAAGTGGTGGCCGAGGCAGGAGTGCATGATGATCCAGTCAGCTGGCGCAGGGAGGTGCATGTCTGTGGCCAGGAAGACTATCTCAGCTCCCTGGAGGATGTCCACCCGGTGCATCTGCCGCAGGTGGGGCACCACCACCTCCAGGTGGCCTTCCCACTGGCAAGAGAACAAGGGGCACAGGCAGGGTGTCACCTGGGCAGCGTGCAGCCCTGCCTCCTGGTGGTGGAGGTGGTGGGGCCGGGCATGGTGGCAGAGGTGGTGGTGGGGACGATGATGGCAGTGGTGGTGGGTGTGGTGGTGAGGGGGGAAGCTGCCTTGCTCTGGTGCGCTCTGAGTGATGGCGCGTCGGCTGGACACATACTGTGGGAGAAAGAGAAGAACGTTAGTGGGCGTGAGACCGGGTTCCGCCTGGCTGAGACTCCCTGGTGTTCAAAGTATTAAAAGCAGACTCTCCAGTGCAGGCAGAGAAAGTTCCATTTCTTAAGAAATGAAGAAAACTGCCAGACTGTTTTCCAAAGTAGCAACACCATTGACATTCCCATTAACCATGTAAGAGGGTTTCAATTTCACCACATGCTTGCCAACACTTCTTATTATCTGTTTAGACAAATATTTTTATGAGACAAAATTAAATGTTTGGCCAAATTTAGATGCTGTCTTCTCCATGTCATTTCATCTCAGTATAGAACCTAAATTTACCCAGTTAAAAATAAAAGCTCCTTCGAAAGATTTCTCGTGCAAGAAGAGATTTTTTCAAATCTAATAGTAAATTTAAAACAAAACAAAACAAAACAAACTATGGGGCTGGCCTGGTGGTGCAGCAGTTAAGTTCGAATGTTCCAATTTGGTGGCCTGGCTTTCGCTGGTTCAGATCCCAGGTGCAGACATAGCACCACTTGTCAAGCCATGCTGTGGCAGGTGTCCCACATACAAAAAAAAGTAGAGGAAGATGGGCATGGATGTTAGCTCAGGGCCAGTATTCCTCAGCAAAAAGAAGAGGATCGGCAGCAGACGTTAGCTCAGGGCTAATCTTCCTAAAAAAAAAAAAAAAAAAAACCCACTAAAAACTAAAAAAAAAAAAAAGAAATGAGGAACACAGTGGATATCTTTGGTGGTTGAGTTTTCAAAAACTCAGTCTAAGAAAATGCAACATTTATGCCTTTCTGATTCTTTAATAGGATACTCAAGCAAATAGGCAATTTCCCCCCTCAAAAAACATGCATTATGATGGTCATTAGCCATAAAGAACAAAAAAATCAATGTTTTCCTTTTCTGATACTGTTGATTTTTTTTGCATCAATCAAGATTAATGGATCTTTTCCCCTATTTTATCATTACTATTACTTTTAAAACAAAATTTCAGTAAGTGCCCATTTGTCAGGGGTTGTGACGTTGGGTGCCCTTCTCCTGGGTCCTAAGGCAGCGGGTGGGGCGCAGAGCTGATTCTGGGCAGCTGGCCACAGTTCCCAGGGAGGAAGGCCCACCTGGGACTCCCGGGACTTCACCCCACCAGGCACATCTCTGCCCTGCTCCGGGCTCTCTGCTCTGGAGCAGTCTCCTGGGCGCTCACCACTAGGCACCCTCCACCCCGAGACTCTCCTCACCTCTACTTCCTCGTGGCAGTGTGCCCACAAATGCCCTCCACACACCAGGAGCTGTGACAGCAGCTTCTGATCAGACATCAGTAAACATTAACTGAGTACCTGCTACGGCCAAACCCGGCAGCGACTAGGGGTACAGCCGTGACCCAAATAAACACCGATCTTTTTAGTGTGTGTGGTCCAGACATTAGTATGCATGTAATTAATTGTGGTTTTCACAAGGGTCCTCCCTGTGACAGGAGGTCTGTGATTCATATTTTTCAGCTGAAGAAACAGGCTCCCTAGTAACATGCCCGAGGTTACAAAGCTCGTCAGCGAAAGCCTGGGATTCATTTTCACGCCTCCTGACTCTGAACACAGCAGCATCCCTGCCCGCCCCGCCGCCACCCCCCACCCCCAGTCATCCCCGCCTCCAGCTCCCTCCTCCATTCCTCGAGTTCGTGTTCTTTTTTTCTTTAATTAGCCTGCAGGATGCAGGCTGTGCTGTGGAGGTGGCAGCTCTGCAGGGCGCTCCAGGCGTGAGGCCACCACGTGGCAGCCGTTTTCTGCCTTTGGGTAGTGAGTGTTGTGCCCTAGCTCTCCAAGGCTTTCCTGGACTGCGGGTGCCTTGGGGCACTGCCCTCCTCACCTCCCTTTGGTTCCTTTCCAGCGAGTAGAGGATGAGGGCCAAGGCCTTTCACACTGCTCCTGGGCTGAGTGTGGCTAACAACAGAGGCCTGGCTAGCTGCCCTCTCTTTAGGGCATGTAGGGCACACCTGCATGCACAGGTGTGCCGGGCTGGCCACACTGTGGCGGACGTGACCTGGAGGCAAGTGGGAGCCCGACTAGCTCTGCTCTGGAGCTGTGAGCTCCAGCTGCCAGGTTCTGTCTTCTTCCCCTGGGAATGCTGCGGACCTGGAGTGTGAGCTACAGGCCCTTCCAGTAGTTCCTGCCCTGCTCCTGGATGGCATCTACTGGGCAGCTGGCTGTCGCCCATCTGGCATACCTGCCAGGCCTATGTAAGGAAGGGGCTGGGCTCCAGAATCCTGCTTGTGATGGGTCTGACTTACCCTTTATGGTTAAATACAGGGGAGGGAACCAATGGGTATGTAGCATCTACTAATTGTTAGGCATTGTGGAAAGTAGGTATTTTTTTGCATAATTATTTCATTTAATTTTTCACAGAAAAGATCAATTTCCTTTAAAAAAAATAAAATTAAATCTGGCTTCATTCCCACCTGCCTGCTGGTGGCATGTACCATTTAGTCAGTGGGGGAGGGGAGTCCTTCCCATCCCTTGGGATCATACAAGAAGCCAGGCTCACAGACTCTGTCAACCAGGCACAAGGCCCCTGTCAGGTCCTTCCAGCAGTCTCAGGCCCGGCAGAAGGTCAGCTTCTTCTGCTAAGCTCAAGTGGACCCAGTCTTGGCCTATCATGGAAAGCCCCACATGCTGTCTCCTCTCCCTGTCTCTGAGAAGCCCCCTCTCTCACTTAGTCTTTACAACAAACATAAGAGAAACATATTATGTTTGTCTTATAGACAAAGAAACTGACACACAGAGAGGCTGAGTCACTTGCCCAAGGTCACACAGCTCATACCAGTTGCAGCTGAGAAAGGAGCCCAGACCAGTTAAAGGTGACATAGATCATAGACTGGGAGGATCACAGGCTGGATATCAGCAGAACCCAGACTGTTTCACTGTTTATTTGTCCAGCAGCCTTGATTAAGTCAGTTTCCCCATCAGCAAAATATTTATTTCAAGGGTTCTTAGGGGATCAAATGAAATACTGCCTGTCAAACAGCTGAAACAACCACATCAAGCATTACATCACGATGGTATTTCCATTTAGAAGTGGTTTTGGGTGAAGACTTTTGGCGGCCTTCTGCCTCCATCCATGCCTGCTGTGTCTATCCTGGTCAGCTGACCTTTGCCCCTGGGCACACCCCAGGCTGAGCACAGGCCACCCTAAGAGCCTAGAGACCCCAACATCGCACTTGGCCTGCAGCCTCCTGTCCCAACGCTGACCGATGATGACAGAACATCCTGAAATTCACATCTCAGAAATGGCCTCTGGACTATTCCCACATGCCCTTCTCCAGATCCACTTTCCATCCTCTCCATCCTGTTCTGTGCAGCTAATATCAGAGATGTGAAATTAAAGTAGGGTGGGAGTGGGGAAGAAATATCTTGACTTCCGTTTCTTCCATCCCATCAAACTCCTATCAGTGCCTCCCATGGGTTAAACTCAATCAGAGACCTACTGGAAAGGAGCCCAGAGATGCAGTCAGCAAGGCTCGACTCCCTTTGGAAATGGTGCTGGGTGAGGTGTCCTTTGGAAATGGCACAAGAGGGAATGCCCACCTGTATGCAAATGTCTCAATTCCCTCTTCTTTGTGTTGGCTGATCTTGACCTGGCTGGGCTGAGATTTGATAAAGCTGATGGAGGGAGTAGGGGTGATAGATATATGCCTACAATTCATGAAGCCATTCAGTCAAAAATGTGTACACCATCTAACATGTGCAAGGGGCTGAGGATACCGAACAGAGTGAGCTCCTTGTTCCTGCCTCAGTAGCTCACTATGATTATGTAAAATATTACAATAGAATGCACAAATGCAGGATGCAGTGGGGCTCTGAGAGAACAAAGTGGGGAGGTAGCTATTCTAGTCAATGTGAAGTGACATTTACACTGGGCCAAGCATGAAGGGTGAATGCTCTAACAAAATAGGCCAAAGGTTTGCCAACGGGGCGAACAGCAGGTTCGAAGGAGCCAGGTATGATAGAACATGGGATGTTTAAGAAATGACAAGTTCCAGGTGGCTAGTAGATGGAGGACCTGCTGGAAATGGAGAGGAGGTAGGTCATGGTGCTGAGAGGAGTCGGATCGTATTGCTGAAGTCTCGTAAGCCAAGCTGAGACACCAAGATGGCACCCAGTGCCCTGTGGAAGTCGGTAGGAGGGCCCAAGAAACACAGCTTCCTGCTTTTGGGAGCTCCTGTGGGTAGCACCAGCAGAGCCTGTTCTAAGCGGGTGCTCGGGAGGGGACCAGCTGCAAGTCCCCGCCCTGTCCAGCCATTGGACCCTAGCGATGGTCATTCCACCTAGACTGTCGCGTTGCTCGCTTTGACCTCATCTTCCACTAGCCTTTTCATTTTTTAATTGCTGCAGGGTAACAAAGTAGCTGGGAGCATATCCAAGTGATGGAAGTGAATGACTATGCAAATAGAGCGAGACATTATAAACTCATCGAGCCCCGTGTACTTGCTGAGCCCCAAGAAAGCGCTAAGAATAAACAGCCTTAATTCTTCATTTCTTCCCGCTCCATCTTCTGATGGAAAATACGTTTCATTTAAATGATCTTTGGGTGAGCGAGGTGACAGGGCTGCTGGTGGGGAGAAGGAATTCTTTTAATTGGCAAAATGCTAATCGTTTTGGAAAATGAATTTTAATCTTCCCATCTAATACAGTGGATGTGTGAGTAATTGCTTTCCTTCACTAAACTGTTAATGCAACATTAGTGATTACACCAATTAAAACTAATGAACTCTCACAGCCTGATAAACCCCTCCGTCAGTCAGGGAATGCCTTCCTCCCATTGGCTGTGTTTAACTTTGCATTTGGAAGAGAGATCTTGAATTAACCTTTAGAATAATGCACAAAATTGGGTTTAGCAATGTTAGGCTTTATGGACCGGGTATAATTTTTTTCCCCATGCATTAGCGAGACCATTTCCATTGAGGGTGTAATTGAATTTAAAAACGCCTTCCTTAATTTGAT